AAGGGCGTGGCCTTCAGGACTCCGTTGGTGGAAGCGGGCCGGAGGCCCGGCAAACCGGCAGGCTTTAGGGAGCCGGCGCCGCCCACAGGCGCCACCTGCAGGTTGACTGTAAAACAGCAGCAGAGTGGTGAGTCCAGCTGGTGGGTTCAGAATCTGGCCAAGCGTCCGCGAGGCTCACCGGATCCCGGAGCGCCGGTTCTGATGGTCAGAGTGGTGAAGCCAGATCCCGGGTGGGCTGGACTGGGTCCGGTCTGGTTCTGAGACAGCACTGTAGACACGGCCACAGCGGGTCGGACCAGCTGGCCCAGAGTTGGCGCTGTGGAGACAAGGGGCAGGTGAGCAGGGTCAGAGGTCAGCGGCGTTCGTTCCGGGCCGAGCGGACCTACACTGGATCAGCTGGACTGTCTGCAGGTTGGGCTGCAAGTTGAGAACCAGCGGCGCGCCGGGAGTCATCACTGCGGGAACCTGGAAGCCCTGCAACAGGAAGCATGCCATCAGCGTCCAGGTCGCCATGGAAATGGGTCGGTGGCCTCGGGCACGACCTGTACCTGCGCGGTCAGGAGGATCGGCTGGGTGGCACCGGCGCCGGGCCCGGCCGGCAGAAAGAACGTTCCACCGGCGGTCTGCGTCAGGATGAGGGGCGGAGCCGAAGCCCTGAGGGGCGGGGCCGAGGTAGAGGACTTGGAGGTGGAGACGGAGAGAGGAGGAGGAGGGGCCGAGGAGACGAAGGGCGGAGCGCCTGAGAGACAGACAGATGAGCACTGGTGCACCTGCACTCACCTGGGGGGCGGGGACACTCACCTGGGAGAGGTGTGCTGGGCAGGGGAGACCTTGGGGGCGGAGTCTCACAGGGTGAAGAATCCTCCACTGTGGAAATAAAGCGTCAGGTCAACCTTTGATCCCGCTGCGCCTGTCCAGATGGACCAGCGCCTCCAACCACGATGCAACCCCCTTGACCTTTGCCCCTTCTACTAAATACAATGTTGGTGTTAAGCTTTAGCGTTAGTTCCTGCTAAATCTAAAGATCATGATCAATGATCTGCTAAAAATTATTGATCAGTTAAACCTGATAGTTCCATCATTAGCTTCTGTTAAATATAATGATGATATAGCATTTTAGCATTAGCTTCTGCTAAATCTAATGATGATATAGCATTTTAGCATTAGCTTCTGCTAAATCTAATGATGATATAGCATTTTAGCATTAGCTTCTGCTAAATCTAATGATGATATAGCATTTTAGCATTAGCTTCTGCTAAATCTAATGATGATATAGCATTTTAGCATTAACTTCTGCTAAAGCTAAAGATGATATAGCATTTTAGCATTAACTTCTGCTAAAGCTAATGATGATATAGCATTTTAGCATTAACAAGCTAAAGATGATATAGCATTTTAGCATTAACTTCTGCTAAAGCTAATGATGATATAGCATTTTAGCATTAACTTCTGCTAAAGCTAAAGATGATATAGCATTTTATCATTAACTTCTGCTAAATCTAATGATGATATGGCGCGTTCCGGTTCGCAAATCCACTGTAGAAGTTCTGAAGCTGAATTGTTCTGGTGTGTAGCTGAAACCCCAGTCCGCTTAAGACCATCGCTAAAGACACAGTTCTGTTCAGATTCTTCCAAAAAATGTGTAGGTACTTGGAACCCAGCTCAGGTCCAGGAGAGTCCTGATCTGGACCAGTACCAGCAGAGCGTTTTTGTCCCACCTGGCTCTCCATAGTTGTCTGTGTACTCCATGTCGTCTTCCTCCACGCTGTCGTCCACCTGTTGCCACGGTTCCAGCTCCTCCTCCTCACTCCATAAACAGCTCAGTGTCCATGTTGCTATGGAGACAGAACAACCCGGGTCGGGCTGACCCGGTTATAACTTTATTACAAAGTAATCTGAACAAGTTCAAAGGTCATATGGAGTCAGTATAAGAACGATTAATGTCAATAAAACACAACAACATTAAACGGATCCAGACGTCTGGAAAAATCTGGAAACCTTTAACCAGCAGGAGGCGCCACAATCACGCTGAGATTGATGCTGGAAGTCACATTATTCACTACTGAGACACGAAGAATCAATCATCATCATATTACGTCACTGCAGCAGGAACCTTTTCACATTTTCTGTCAATTTGACCTGAGATCATTTCCTGAGTGGTCTGACCGTACGGCTAACAGCTGTAATCATAATAATGATTAAATCACAGAAAGAGATAGAATTACTAACCAATTTTGTGGCTCTAACCAACCTAAGACAACTCTCTTTCATGACATGAAAGGTTCTATAATGACTAATAATGTCATGTCTTCTTTGTTAATGCTGATTGAAAGAGCTGCTGTAACTCTGCACTACTGCCATCAACTGGACTGGGGGATGACAAGAAATTAATAGAAATAAGAAAAAAAGATATTTTGTCTCCTTTGTGATTCATGTGCAATATCTTCCATAAACTCATGATTATTAAGGCCTGTTCCGATACATGTAATCATTGACTCTAGCTCCATATTTCCACATTAATGCTACGGAAATGTCTCCCTGTATCAACTATGTTACAGTTTTCATGCAAGGTTTTCTTAATATTTATTAGTCATCATTTCACATCTAATTTTGAAGAAACTATGTTTGTTGTACGCCCTCACTCAGGCTGAGGTTAAACTTGTCGCTGCAGTACCAGCAGCAGCCGCAGGGGGCGCCCGCGCTCCCAACGTCCTGTTTGTTCCTTTGATTCTCCTGTAGCTTCTCTGTTCCGGCGGGAACAAACTTCCAGTCCAAACCGGAACACCATTGGAGGAGACTGCGGGTCACTGTGGACTCAGAAACGGTGCTGAGTCCGGTAGAACCGCAGCCGTACGGTTCTCCGGTCTGTGTCCGCCCGCCCCGCTCCTCCAGCGCTGTCCACATACACACCGAGTACACCCTCCCACCGCCCGGCTGGCTCTGTCCGTGAGCTCCGGGTCAAACCGAACCGCTCCTACCTGCAGCTGGGGCGTCGCTTCGGCAGTCGGACCGAACCGATTCGGACTGTTCTACTCCTTCTTCTTCACGCGCGCTGCAGTTCGACACGCAGGAGGCGGGCCTTCCTCCTCATAGTTTGTTTCAGAGCCGTGGATTGGCTCTCTGGGGTCTGACGTTACGTCCCCATCAGACAGCTCTGCCTGTGATTGGTTGATGAGAATTTTTCTGGAGGAACCAACGTGAGCTGCGGGTTTTCAGAAGATCAAGGATTACCCGGCCCGGTTCGACCGGAGCGGGTTCTGTGACCCGGAGCGGTGCAGTCCATAACCTTTTACACACAAACAAACATCAACTGTGGCCTGTATGGCGGCCTGGCAGCGCCAAAGCCCGAGCCCAGGGACATCCAGAGACGCCATATTGGTTTTGGTGTTTTGAAGGGGCGTGGTTACGAATCGCGACGTCACGAGTTAACCTGAAAAGGACTTCCTCTTGTTAAACAAAGACAAAAACACACAAATAGAAACCAGAGGCTGTTTGGTGTTTTATTCATTTGTTTTTAAAATAACTTTAAATCAAATGAAGACGAGACAACCTCAAGAAACCGATTTCAAATGGATTTTATTTGCTGGGGATAAAAAGACTCTCCAACCGGATGTTGTGTGAAAAAGTAATCACATCCTAAAACCTCTAGTGCAGGGGAGCTCAAGTCCAGTCCTGGAGAGCTACCGTCCTGCAACTTTTAGTTGCAGCCTTACTCCAGTAGACCAGGCTCAGCTCTGAACAGGCCTGGTAACGATTCATTTGATTCAGGTGTGTTGGAGCAGGGATGCATCTGACAGTTGCAGGATGGTAGCTCTCCAGGACTGGACTTGAGCACCCCTGGTCTAGTGTCACTGTGGATGAACTTTGAGGTCACTTTTTATGAGCAGATAAACCACAGATTGTCTACAAAGGGCCTAGTTAAAACCTGAACTTCCCATAAACAGGTCGGTCCTCCTGGAAAATATGTCTGATTGAAATTAATTCATCAGAGTGAGTCAAAGTCATAAAGTGAAGGTCGTCCAGCCCATAGCATGACACTGCCACCATGATGTATGACTGTTTCGTTTCACTGCAGATGAAAGTGGACTGAACTCATAGGACCACAGAACTTTCTCCCTGGTTTCTGACCAGAACCGGAACCAGATCTGACACCCTTTCCAGACTTTGTGTCTCATCAGGTCCAAACTTGTGCTGTCTGTTTCCTGTTGTCAGACGGGTTCTGGTTCTGGTGAAATGGTCACAGTTCTGCATTTACTTGTCTGATGTTATTATCTGTCTTAACATCAAAAAAAGAAAACTCAAAAGGAGATAAATAATCAGACAGGATGAAAAAGTTAAATTATTGGTTTACAAAATGCAAAAACAACATAAAACACTGACCACCCAATTATTTTTAATTTATTGTTGTAAACTACATTTAATATTTTGATTGTCTCTGAGTCTTCTTTGGATTTTACATGTCAGGATAAATCAGTTTTTAATGGAAATATAATATGTCTGTGTTAGAATCATGGCAGCAAATCAGCTGAAGGCAAAAACCTCAGCACAGGTTTTACCCCAAGCTAACAGAGAGCTGATTAATGCTGCTGGAGGAGTCCAGCATGAATAAAGATTGAATTCATATTAACTGGCGCCACCGGACGCCACCGGACGCCAGGAACCTGAACGTGCCAAGTCAGTATTTAGAGATTTATCTTTAACTGCTGTCTTGAGAAAAGTCACAAGCTAAAGCTATCTAGCTGAGTTGGCAGTGGTGGTTCTCTCATCAATCAATCAATCAACTTCATTAGTGTAGCACATTTTAGCAAAAAGGCATTTCAAAGAGCTTTACATCATAAAATCACAAAAAACAAAAGTCAGAAACGCAGGAACAAATGTCAATTTTCATCGTTAACCATCAGATGCCCAGACATTCATCTTCTGGAGGGTCAGAGGTCAAAGGTCACCAGCATGTCTGTCCAGGAGACAGCTCCGTAAATGTCCAGCAGATCCGGTTCTAGTTTGTTGTGGTACCGGTCCGGTTCTGTTTGTGTGGTTTCCTGCTGTTCTAATCCTTCCTGTTCTTCAGATGGTAACTGATCCCAGAGGAGCTCTGATCCATAATCTGCTCTAATCTGTTAATCCGTCCTCCTCTGAGCCGGTTCTGCTCTGCTCTGCTCAGTCTGCGCCAACCTGCAGGGATGGAAGCCGCTGCTCCAGAGGAGTTCCTGGTTCTGCCGTGGCCCAGCGACGGCGGGTCGGACCCGGGGCCCGGAGGCGGCGGCGTCCTGCTGACCTGTGGAGCCGCTGTGGGAGTCACTCTGATCTGTAAGAACATTTTACCGGACCGGAACCAAGAGACTAGAAAGAACCAGAATGTTTGTAAACGATACATTAATTATAAATAGGAATTATTTTTGATCTCGTTTAGATAAAAACCTTCGGAGGATTTTCTCCCTCAAAGTTTGATGACTCATGTTTTCACATCTTACTGTAATCATTGTAATAAACACATAGCCACCAGTTACAGTAGAATCTGAAAAGTGTGGCATGAGTTTATATCTAAACCATCCCATAATATCAGGCTGGTTGTCCAGTCAGCATGATGCTGCCACCACCTGCAGGCTTGTTGAGCTAATTTCTCCCTTAAAGTGTTTTCCACCATCCCGTCGAGCCGGTCCAGTCTCATATTGGTCCCAGTCTGGTCCAGTCTCATATTGGTCTCAGTCTGGTCCAGTCTCATATTGGTCCCAGTCTGGTCCAGTCTCATATTAGTCCCAGTCTGGTCCAGTCTCATATTGGTCCCAGTCTGGTCCAGTCTCATATTGGTCCCAGTCTGGTCCAGTCTCATATTGGTCCCAATCTGGTCCAGTCTCATATTGGACCCAGTCTGGTCCGGACTCATATTAGTCCCGGTCTGGTCCAGTCTCATATTGGTCCCAGTCTGGTCCGGTCTCATATTGGTCCCAGTCTGGTCCAGTCTCATATTGGTCCCAGTCTGGTCCAGTCTCATATTGGTCCCAATCTGGTCCAGTCTCATATTGGTCCCAGTCTGGTCCGGACTCATATTAGTCCCAGTCTGGTCCAGTCTCATATTGGTCCCAATCTGGTCCAGTCTCATATTAGTCCCAGTCTGGTCCGGTCTCATATTGGTCCCAGTCTGGTCCAGTCTCATATTGGTCCCAATCTGGTCCAGTCTCATATTGGTCCCAGTCTGGTCCGGACTCATATTAGTCCCAGTCTGGTCCAGTCTCATATTGGTCCCAATCTGGTCCAGTCTCATATTGGTCCCAGTCTGGTCCGGACTCATATTAGTCCCGGTCTGGTCCAGTCTCATATTGGTCCCAGTCTGGTCCGGTCTCATATTGGTCCCAGTCTGGTCCGGTCTCATATCGGTCCCAGTCTGGTCCGGTCTCATATTGGTCCCAGTCTGGTCCGGTCTCATATTGGTCTCAGTCTGCTCCAGTCTCATATTGGTCCCAGTCTGGTCCTGACTCATATCGGTCCCAGTCTGGTCCGGTCTCATATCGGTCCCAGTCTGGTCCGGTCTCATATTAGTCCCAGTCTGGTCCAGTCTCATATTGGTCCCAGTCTGGTCCGGTCTCATATTAGTCTCAGTCTGCTCCAGTCTCATATTGGTCCCATTCTGGTCCAGTCTCATATTAGTCCCAGTCTGGTCCAGTCTCATATTAGTCCCAGTCTGGTCCAGTCTCATATGGTCCCAGTCTGGTCCAGTCTCATATTGGTCCCAATCTGGTCCAGTCTCATATTGGTCCCAGTCTGGTCCGGACTCATATTAGTCCCGGTCTGGTCCAGTCTCATATTGGTCCCAGTCTGGTCCGGTCTCATATTGGTCCCAGTCTGGTCCGGTCTCATATTGGTCCCAGTCTGGTCCGGTCTCATATCGGTCCCAGTCTGGTCCAGTCTCATATTGGTCCCAGTCTGGTCCAGTCTCATATTGGTCCCAATCTGGTCCAGTCTCATATTGGTCCCAGTCTGGTCCGGACTCATATTAGTCCCGGTCTGGTCCAGTCTCATATTGGTCCCAGTCTGGTCCGGTCTCATATTGGTCCCAGTCTGGTCCGGTCTCATATTGGTCCCAGTCTGGTCCGGACTCATATCGGTCCCAGTCTGGTCCGGACTCATTTCGGTCCCGGTCTCATATTAGTCCCAGTCTGGTCCGGTCTCATATCGGTCCCAGTCTGGTCCGGTCTCATATTGGTCCCAGTCTGGTCCGGTCTCATATTGGTCCCAGTCTGGTCCGGTCTCATATTGGTCCCAGTCTGGTCCGGTCTCATATCGGTCCCAGTCTGGTCCGGACTCATATCGGTCCCAGTCTGGTCCGGACTCATATCGGTCCCAGTCTGGTCCGGTCTCATATTGGTCCCAGTCTGGTCCGGTCTCATATTGGTCTCAGTCTGCTCCAGTCTCATATTGGTCCCAGTCTGGTCCGGACTCATTTCGGTCCGGTCTCATGTTAGTCCCAGTCTGGTCCGGTCTCATATCGGTCCCAGTCTGGTCCGGTCTCATATTGGTCCCAGTCTGGTCCGGTCTCATATTGGTCCCAGTCTGGTCCGGTCTCATATTGGTCCCAGTCTGGTCCGGTCTCATATTAGTCTCAGTCTGCTCCAGTCTCATATTGGTCCCAGTCTGGTCCGGACTCATATCGGTCCCAGTCTGGTCCGGTCTCATATCGGTCCCAGTCTGGTCCGGTCTCATATCGGTCCCAGTCTGATCCGGTCTCATATTGGTCCCAGTCTGGTCCAGTCTCATATCGGTCCCTCTGGTCCAGTCTCATATCGGTCCCAGTCTGGTCCGGTCTCATATTGGTCCCAGTCTGGTCCAGTCTGATATTGGTCCCAGTCTGGTCCAGTCTCATATTGGTCCCAGTCTGGTCCGGTCTCATATCGTCCCAGTCTGGTCCGGTCTCATATCGGTCCCAGTCTGGTCCGGTCTCATATTGGTCCCAGTCTGGTCCAGTCTCATATTGGTCCCAGTCTGGTCCAGTCTCATATTGGTCCCAGTCTGGTCCAGTCTCATATTAGTCCCAGTCTCCGGTCTCATATTGGTCTCAGTCTGGTCCAGTCTCATATTGGTCCCAGTCTGGTCCAGTCTCATATTAGTCCCAGTCTGGTCCGGTCTCATATTGGTCTCAGTCTGGTCCAGTCTCATATTAGTCCCAGTCTGGTCCGGTCTCATATTGGTCCCAGTCTGGTCCAGTCTCATATTGGTCTCAGTCTGGTCCAGTCTCATATTAGTCCCAGTCTGGTCCGGTCTCATATTGGTCTCAGTCTGGTCCAGTCTCATATTAGTCCCAGTCTGGTCCGGTCTCATATTGGTCCCAGTCTGGTCCAGTCTCATATTAGTCCCGGTCTGGTCCGGTCTCATATCGGTCAAAGTCTGGTCCGGTCTCATATCGGTCCCAGTCTGGTCCGGTCTCATATCGGTCCCAGTCTGGTCCGGTCTCATATTGGTCCCAGTCTGGTCCAGTCTCATATTGGTCCCAGTCTGGTCCAGTCTCATATTAGTCCCAGTCTGGTCCGGTCTCATATTGGTCTCAGTCTGGTCCAGTCTCATATTAGTCCCAGTCTGGTCCGGTCTCATATTGGTCCCAGTCTGGTCCGGTCTCATATTGGTCCCAGTCTGGTCCGGTCTCATATTGGTCCCAGTCTGGTCCGGTCTCATATTGGTCCCAGTCTGGTCCAGTCTCATATCGGTCAAAGTCTGTTCCGGTCTCATATCGGTCAAAGTCTGGTCCGGTCTCATATCGGTCCCAGTCTGGTCCGTTCTCATATTGGTCCCAGTCTGGTCCAGTCTCATATCGGTCCCAGTCTGGTCCGGTCTCATATTGGTCCCAGTCTGGTCCAGTCTCATATTAGTCCCAGTCTGATCCAGTCTCATATTAGTCCCAGTCTGGTCCTGTCTCATATTGGTCCCAGTCTGGTCCAGTCTCATATTGGTCCCAGTCTGGTCCGGTCTCATATAGGTCCCAGTCTGGTCCAGTCTCATATTGGTCTCAGTCTGGTCCAGTCTCATATTAGTCCCAGTCTGGTCCGGTCTCATATTAGTACCAGTCTGGTCCGGTCTCATATTGGTCCCAGTCTGGTCCGGTCTCATATTGGTCCCAGTCTGGTCCAGTCTCATATTAGTCCCGGTCTGGTCCAGTCTCATATTGGTCCCAGTGGTCCAGTCTCATATTGGTCTCAGTCTGGTCCAGTCTCATATTAGTACCAGTCTGGTCCGGTCTCATATTAGTACCAGTCTGGTCCGGTCTCATATTGGTCCCAGTCTGGTCCGGTCTCATATTGGTCCCAGTCTGGTCCAGTCTCATATTGGTCCCAGTCTGGTCCAGTCTCATATTAGTCCCGGTCTGGTCCAGTCTCATATTGGTCCCAGTCTGGTCCAGTCTCATATTAGTCCCGGTCTGGCCCGGTTTCTTATCGGTCCGGTCCTGGTTGTTGTCAGCGGGGCGTGAGCAGCAGCCTTCAGGTCCTGGTTCTGATGATGTTTGATTTAGTTTTCATTCGGCCCAAACAGGATAATAAAGACTCAGATCGTTGATTATTTTGCTGTCGATGTTAATATAAAGACTTTCCAGCCCGTCTGGATTTACGTACTGTAGATAGAATGTGAACATTAGCCACACCTGGAATTTTTTAATCCAAAGGAAAACTAAAAATCACATGGAGCTGATATGATATAGTTCTGGTGTTTCACATTGTTAGGAGAAAGCTGAGCAGCTGCTCCGTTTGTCTCTTTATCCTTCAGAGCAGCTCTGCTCAGACCAGGCCGTGTTGCTGCTGTCAGCATCTCAAAGAGCGTCCAGCAGTAACTGTCTCAGCTCAGCATTTATTGTGAGCTCGTTTAAGGTATCATCACCTGTTACAGCTTGGTTGGTTCTGCTGGTGTTAATGAGTGTGGAGAAATATCCAGGTCCAGATTGGTCTTGGTTGTGTTCCTCTCCTCTGTCTCATGATCCAGATTCCCTCAATTTTTTTTTTTTGTCACAGTGACACAGTGTGGCTTTATCAATAATGACACCAGTCAACATGATCGACATCCACTGGGGTAAAATCAGCCTTGCTCTGTAGATCCAGTACAGAACAGACCTCATGACATCATCAACCCATTGGTGAAAACATGGCTGAAAGATAAAACTCATAATATACATTTTTGAAGCAATTATGAGTTTGGGATTACCACAAACAGGAATATATTACTTTTTAGGAAAATTACATCATATTTAGGCCAGCATGCCTGAGCTTTGATTTTAGGGTGCAGCTGCTCCAGGGAACTATGAAGACTCTGGTAGTAGCGCTCTGAAAAGTTCTCTGGAAGGAAGAACCACTGCCAGACCTCATCAGTCTGTCAGTGCCGTCTTTTCTCTACTACCACAGACTCAGTCAGTGGAAGGGTCAGAGGTCATCTAGAGACACAGAGCTAATCCTTTAGCATAGAGAGGTGCTGTAGTTCTGCCTGAGCTCCAGTAGGGGGAGCAGAGCTGTTGCTTCAGACTTTCGCTCCGCTTCTATTCCGCATGTGAAGCTGATTTGAGCCGAAGTTTACTGCAGAGACATCAACCTCTGCCCCCTGGTGGCTTGAAAAGGTATCTGCACATTTCTATGAGATCTGAAGCACAGAAATGTTCCAGATCCATCTGATCCAGCTGATCCTCACGATCTCACCTGTGCCTGTCTGTCCTTCTCCAGGTGTGGTGGTGCTCAGGAAGTGGATTGCTGGTGGAGTGTGCCGCTGTTCAGTCCGGCTGGATGGGAAAACAGTTCTGGTGACCGGAGCGAACGCGGGCATCGGGAAGGAGACCTGCAGAGACCTGGCAGGGAGAGGTGAGACGGCTGCTGCTCACCTGGTGGACAGGTGTGCTCCGGTTCAACCTGACTGCTTCCAAAAGATGTTCTGACTGGTCCAGAACCCAAATCAATAATTTACTCTCATTATGAACCCGGCCAGAAATGGACCTGAGAATGATGAAACGCTGTTTTTATGTGAACATTAAAATGTAACTAAACCAGATTATACTGCTGATATTTAGGGTTCTGTCTTTCCATGTCAGTTTGTTTAGTTCTGCAGGATTTTATGTAAAGCTGTCTCAGTGCTGCCCTCTTAGTGTTAAACTGAGGTACTGCAGGCGAGTCTTCCTGTTTTGAGGTGGTCCAGATTTCTAGTTCACTCACATCTGATATCTGGGAAAACATTTAATGACCTAAAAAAACTTTGAGGACACTGTATTTATCTGTGTTTATAGGAAAATGGAGATTTAGGGTTCCACGCATTACATTGTGCAACAAATGATGTGACGATATTTTCACAAACTCGGTTTGACACGATTCCTAATCGACTCATGTTGTATTAACTTTATTATGTAAAACTCAGTTTGAAAGCAGTTCAACGCATGGATGGACCTCCTGGCTCCACGTTTGATTCCTAACAGAAAGTGCTGGTTGATTTGGAGCATTCTGATTGGCTGACAGGATTTAGCTTGAAACTGCACTTCCTCCAATGGGTTTGGGATGTTTAAAGCAACGCTAAGTGGCAGATTGGGTCATGTGGATCAAAGCTTCCCGTAAACTAATCCTTTGTGTGTGATGTGATTTTCTTAAATGATGTGGTGGAGATATTTATCTTTAGAAACACCTGGCTACGTGTGGAAAGTCCCCAGATACACAGTGCCACCCTGTGGAGAGTCAGGAGGAAGCACAACTAAGAACCATATCACTAGATCAGTTGTTTTTGGTAAGAAGTCATTCGAGAGTCGTAACAAAATTTGTAAGTTTTCAACAGTCCTCTCTTGACCAGCCCCACACTTAGCCACACACCTCTGTCTCTTGGCTCCGCCCACTTTGGTGGAATGTTCACTAATTGTCAGAGGCGGATTTCCCTTTCAAAAGGGTTTAAAGTTTTGACTGGTTGTCATTGGACTCTGGTCTCCAGTCCATCACCAGCAGTTATGAGGCAAAGATCCTGAAGCTGGGATGAGTTTCCTCCACAGGAAACTCCATCATCCAGCAGGATATCAGAGCTAATCCGCTCTGCTGGGCTTATCTCCTGGGCATGAATCGCTGTCAGGTAAATCCATAATCAGCTCCTGAACAGCAGGGTATGTGGGTTCGCCAGGTGCCCGGGTGGTAATGGCCTGCAGGGATCTGAACCGGGCCGAGCGAGCAGCGGACGAGATACGGAAGTCTACCGGAAACGGGAACGTGGTGATCAGACACCTGGACCTGGCTTCCGTCTACTCTGTCTCACAGTTCGCCAAGGACTTCCTAGACAGTGAAGACAGACTGGACATCCTGGTCAACAATGCAGGTGAGCTCATCTGTCCTTTTTCTCTCCTTGTCTGTTCCTGTGCTCACCTGTCTACATTCTGCAGGTGTGATGATGTGCCCTAAATGGATCACAGAAGACGGCTTTGAGACTCAGATAGCCGTCAATCACCTGGGTCACTTCCTGTTGACCAATCTGTTGCTGCCATTGCTGAAGAGCACCACCTCCAGCCGCGTGATCAACGTGTCATCCATTGCCCACTGGGGAGGTGTGACCTCTAACCTCACCATCTTAACGTATCTGATCCCTGCAGACAATTGAAGTCTGTTCTGGTACCCAGGGAAGATCAACTTTGATGACTTGTTCTTCAGCCGGCGACCATACAGCGCGCTGGAGAGCTACAGGCAGAGCAAGCTGGCGAACGTCCTCTTCACCCGAGAACTGGCTCGACGTCTCAGAGGTTCACGCAAGTCCACACACACTAGAACAACCTTGGATCCAGAGGTGACCTGCTCTCACCTCTGGTCCAAGGTAAGAGAATATCTCCAGAGGAAGTCCAGTCCTTTAACTAGACCCTAAGAAGACTGACTACCTGCATGGCTAATGCTTCTGAGCACATTCCTCCTGTATGTCTGACAAAGTCTGACAAAATCTCCAGACAACCAACACCCTCCACCCCATCTGATTCCCTTTTCCCCCACTTCATTAACACTGAAGATGATGTGATGATGTCATCAGCACTGTGCTAAGATTGGTTCATAATTGTATCTTCACTTGTTCTACAGGATCTGGCGTGTCAACCTTCTGTCTTCATCCTGGGGTGATCCGGACTGAGCTGGGGCGGCATGTTGAGGGCTGGTTTCCCCTGCTGGGGGCGCTGCTGAGGCTTCCTGCCCTGCTGCTAATGAAGACTCCCTGGGAGGGCAGCCAGACCACCGTGTTCTGTGCCGTGACGCCAGGCCTGGAGGAACTTTCAGGCCGATACTTCAGGTAGGAGGCGGGCTTACCTGGTCAGATGGACTTTCGACTGTTTTGGGGAGGTTTTGTCCTGGTGGACCGAGTGACATTCAGAACCTTCTGTGTCCACAGTGACTGTGGAGAGAAGGAGGCGGCGCCGGAGGGACAGGACGACGAGGCAGCCCGGAGGCTGTGGGAGGAGAGCGCCCGATTGGTCAGACTGAAGGACACCTGCTGACCTGTGACCTGCTGGCTGACACACCACAAAAAGAGACAACAGCAGTGCCCCTCTGCACAGAGCGAGGAAGACCAAACAGGACCAGTGCTAGAACCTTAAGTGGTCCGGTCATCCCCAGTAAAACATCTTTTCTCTAGTCTGGTACCAAGTTGAACCCGGGGTCGTTGAACCGGCCCAGAGTTCTGACCGGCTGACAGAAAGAAACCAGCTTAACGTTACTCTGAAGCTTCCTTGTCCAGCTGTGTTTGATTCAGCATCCAAATTGCTTCGTCCAGAACTGTGGCGGCCCGTTCACCCCAGAACCGCCTGGTACCTTCAAATGGACCACAGTCTGTCCCTTCTGCTGTCTGAACCTTTGAACTCTAGTCCAGCTGAAACCTGGTGCAAGAAACAAATGGACAGGAAGTGATGTCTGATTCATCGATATAGATGTAAAACGTGGCCGGTTTCCACGGTGTGGGACATCCAGCCCGACTCTTCATGGTCCCTCCAGAATCTTCTCTTTGTCTTGCTGAACCTTTTGTTTCCTGTCATGTTTCTTTGTTCTTCTGTCTGTTTGAAACAGGAAGTCTTTAATGAGCATGCTCCAACTGTTTGTTGGTAATAAAGAGAACGAAATAAAGTTTGATTCAAATCTGTCAGGTTCTAAGCATCACATCTGGTTCTAACTTCAAATGGGAAATAATCTTCAGGGAAAGAGTCCGGACTCTAGGGGGCGCTATTACACACCAGACTCTAGGTGGTGATGCACTCTCCCACTGAGCCTGGTTCTGGTTCTGCTGCAGGTTTCTCCTTGTTCAAGTGGAGTTTTTCCCCTCCACTGTTGCCTGATGCATGTTCAGGTCTGTCCCTTTGTAAAAACACTGACATTAGAACTAGATAGAAAGAAAGAAGTAGCTGGTTCAGTTTCAACTTTTCCTTTTTAGTTTCTGTTCCTGAACTCCGATTAGTCGGATCAACATTTCCCTCCAGTCTGAATCAACAACTGGATGTGGTAGCAATGTGGGTTCTGGTTCTGGATCTCATCAGAACATCTGTGAGCTCTTTAACTCTCCCCAGAAACAGTGAGAGTACCTGGAACCTGGTCTGGAAAACCAGGTCAGGTTTGTTCTGATGGAGCAGAAATCAAATATTTTCCAGAACCAAGTGTAGGAGGATCAGACTGGGCCTCTGGTTCCGACCAGGGCCGAACCTCCGGTTCTGGACCTCTGGTCGTGATGAGCAGGACGGTGGTCCATCTTGACAGACCGGACGGGCCAGACTGGACCTGCAGGATAGCTACACCGGCCGGTCTTGGTGTCTGACAGAGTTTGGGATCCGGGCCGACCCTGAAACCGACTCGGGTCGACCAGAACCGGATCTGAGAACAAATCTGCTGCTGCACGGAACCAGGGGTCCAGTTGGGTTCCATCTGAGTCGGACCAGAACCGCCGTCTGGTCATGGTCCAGATTTCAGAACCTCCAGCTGATGCCTTCATCCAGCGGGGGGCGCTGTGATGCTGCCGAGGAGCCGCTGAGCCAGCGGGGAGTCCGCGGGAGGAGGAGGAGGAGGAGGAGTAATCGGACACCGACCCCTAGAGCTGCTCAGAGAGAAGCGGAGCCCGGCGGGTCGGTCAGTCTGTCAACCCCGCGGACAGCGAGCGGAGGAGCGGCGGAGCAGAGCGGGACTCTCCGGCCTCCCTGCGGAACTTTCCCGGCTTCAGCGGCTCCATCGCGGCTGCCGCTCCGCAGCGCTGCGTGGACGAATAACGGAGTTGCATGAAAGTGGGAGAAGTTGCGTTTCAGCTCCACGATGAAGAAGAACAGCTCCGGGAAACGGGTGAGTCCAGACGGAACCGGTACTGGTTGCTTGTTACAGTTAAGCTGAATCTGGAGGAACAAAAGCCCCAGGATTAGGTTGAACTTTTATTCTGAAGGCCGTAAAAGCCGCTATTTGCTGCGGACTCTGTTTCCGACTTTCAGAAGAAAGGTACGGTTTGTTATTGTGCAGTTTAAAGAGGTCGGGTTCTGCTAGGTTCGGTGTAAAGACTTTGAAAAGTTATTAAAAACAAATAGTCTCCCTGCAGAGAAGGGTGATGCGTTCAGGTGTAAACAGATGTGTCAGTGAATCAGGAAGCTGAGGGGGAACCCAGAGCAGAGTGACAGTTAATCTGCCAACAGCTTAAGGCTCATGTTACACGTTAGATAACTAACATCTGACACCTGAACGCACCACAGACCCATTGGAATAAACCAGGGCCCTGAACGCATCATAGGCTGGTAAGAATAATGACTGGTAGCCTGAACGCACCACCTGTCAGATCTCTTTCTTCTGCTGATGGACTCATGTTCTAATCAGAACCACGCAGGTCAGAGGTCAGCACTAGAGTTTAGCTTCCTGTTTCAGGTCCGGCGGAGCCCGGCCAGCAGAACTCAGCGCCGGACAAAACGGGCTGGATCAGGAAGTTCTGTGGGAAGGGGATCTTCAGGGAGATCTGGAAGAACCGCTTCGTGGTTCTGAAAGGAGACCAGCTGTTCATCTGTGAGAAGGAGGTGAGTCCGGGGGCGGGGCCTATTGAGGAGAGGGCGTGGCTTATAGATAACTGGGCGGGGCTTGTACAGGACTGGGCGGGGCTTAGAGCAGTGGCCGGGGTTCTCTGGACACATTCTGCACGCTTCAGTCTGAAGAACATTCAGAACCTCAGAGTTCGACTGGACCCGGCAGAACCTGATGTTCCTCTGCGATCTGGTTTGGTTCCATCCGGTTCTCCTTCACTTCCTGCTGCTGACAGGAGTCCAGTTTCAGTCTGAGAGGAACACAGAAAGATCAGGTTTCACTGTGGAGCTGAACCCGCCTCACAGAACCAGAGATTAGAACCTTCTGGTCTCACTGCAGTGAGTTCGAACCCAAAGTGTCTGGTACCGTTGGTTCTTCTCTTAAACCAGTCCCAGATCCTGCAGGGAACTGGAGAACAGAGCTGGTTCTGGTTCTGTGATGCGTTCATGTTCTCTTCCTGTCGGCACCATATTAGGCCTGGTGCGTTGGTTCAGAGCGTTACCGTGGCAACCAGCCTCTTCCTGTCAGCGGCGGCCGTCTTCCTGTCCGATCAGAAATAACTTGATCAGAACCACAGAGGAACTGAAACCGAGCCGGTCGGACCTTCACAACCTTTAGAGGTCCGATCTGGGAGGAAAGTTTTTCCAGTTCCCACTTCAGTTAGCCTCTGCAGGGTGGGCAACTCCAGGAGGGGCTCCTGTTTTCCTGCAAGGACTCTGCAGTCTTCTCTACTTCATGCAAATGATGAGGTCATTAGCAGGACTCTGGAGACCTGGACTGCATTCAGCTGTTGGACCAGGAGACACTGCAGGACACCGGCCCTCGAGGACCAGGATGTCCTCCCCTGAGTTAGAGGGGTAGCGGATCACCAGAACCATTCTGGTGGTTCTGATCCGGTTTCAGATCAGCCGGTCTGAAACCGGTCTGTGGGGGCCTGCTGGTTTCCACGGTAACCACGGTAGCTCCTGAAGTAACCAATGGCAACCAGCCGGAAGCGGGTCGGGCCGACTCGTTCTGGATTTCAATTTGTTTCTCAAATCAGTTCCTCACAGACTTGCAAACAATCCGAGGAGATCGGCACCTGAGGTCACACGGGGTCAACAGGGTCACCTGGGGTCACGCAGGTCAGAAGCAGCTGACTCTTGTCTTTGTCTAAAATCATCAGAACTTCAGACAACGTTCTGGATCCATGTGATTCCACCAGGCGGTTCTGATTCTGGATCAGAAGCACGCTGCTGGACAGCCAGAGGTCAGCGCGGCTCATTATGTAACCATTCTCAGAGAGTATTGATTATCGATCGATGATGCAACATCGGCGGGAACAAACGCCCCAGGATGCAGACGGACTCAGAGCAGAGGTTCTGGTTCTGATCAGTCCAGACGAGTTTAACAGGAGACAAAAAGAATCTCCTTGGCAACAATAATATTATTCAAGTAAAAGAAAAAGGCACAGAGCAGTAAAATGGTAAATGGACTGAACATATATAGCGCGTTTCCAGTCATTTGACCACTCAAAGCGCTTTACACTGGAGTCACATTCACCCATTCACACACACATTCATAAATCGATACGCAGACCGGTAGGCAATATAAAACTACTCTGATATGAACCTTTTTTCCAAAAAAGTTACTCAAGTGAATGTAACCAGCACTCCTCACTTCATGAACATAAACACCAGTAGCCTACAGGCTGCTAGTTAACAAGCTAAAGGTGCTGTTCTGGTGTTACCTAGTCATCTCTTAGCTAACATTAGCTAGACATCTTTAGCTAACATTAGCTAGACATCTTTTAGCTAACATTATTTAGGCATCTTTTAGCTAACATTATCTAGTATTCTTTTAGCTAACATTATCTAGTCATCTCTTAGCTAACATTAGCTAGACATCTTTTAGCTAACATTAGCTAGACATCTTTTAGCTAACATTATTTAGGCATCTTTAGCTAACATTATCTAGTATTCTTTTTAGCTAACATTATCTAGGCATCTTTTAGCTAACATTAGCTAGTAATCTTTTAGCTAACATTATCTAGTCATCTTTTAGCTAACATTATCTAGGCATCTTTTAGCTAACATTAGCTAGTCATCTTTTAGCTAACATTAGCTAGACATCTTTTAGCTAACATTATCTAGGCATCTTTTAGCTAACATTAGCTAGACATTTTAGCTAACATTAGCTAGACATCTTTTAGCTAACATTAGCTAGACATCTTTTAGCTAACATTATCTAGGCATCTTTTAGCTAACATTAGCTAGTCATCTTTTAGCTAACATTAGCTAGGCATCTTTTAGCTAACATTATTTAGACATCTTTTAGCTAACATTATCTAGTCATCTTTTAGCTAACATTATCTAGTCATCTCTTAGCTAACATTAGCTAGACATCTTTTAGCTAACATTAGCTAGACATCTTTTAGCTAACATTATTTAGGCATCTTTTAGCTAACATTATCTAGTATTCTTTAGCTAACATTATCTAGGCATCTTTTAGCTAACATTAGCTAGTAATCTTTTAGCTAACATTATCTAGTCATTTTTTAGCTAACATTATCTAGGCATCTTTTAGCTAACATTAGCTAGTCATCTTTTAGCTAACATTAGCTAGACATCTTTTAGCTAACATTATCTAGGCATCTTTTAGCTAACATTAGCTAGACATCTTTTAGCTAACATTAGCTAGACATCTTTTAGCTAACATTAGCTAGACATCTTTTAGCTAACATTTAGGCATCTTTTAGCTAACATTATCTAGTATTCTTTTAGCTAACATTATCTAGGCATCTTTTAGCTAACATTAGCTAGTAATCTTTTAGCTAACATTATCTAGTCATCTTTTAGCTAACATTATCTAGGCATCTTTTAGCTAACATTAGCTAGTCATCTTTTAGCTAACATTAGCTAGACATCTTTTAGCTAACATTAGCTAGACATCTTTTAGCTAACATTAGCTAGACATCTTTTAGCTAACATTAGCTAGACATCTTTTAGCTAACATTATCTAGGCATCTTTTAGCTAACATTAGCTAGTCATCTTTTAGCTAACATTAGCTAGGCATCTTTTAGCTAACATTATTTAGACATCTTTTAGCTAAC